AGGTGGTGTGGGAGTTGAGGCGCTGGACTCCCACATGGCCGATCTTGGTTTGAGTCCCGGACCTGGTGGCTTGAAAATTGTGCCGGGTGCATATGCACGCGTGTCTAGAATCTTGAGAGGAGAATAGAGGAGGAGGGACTGCAGTGTGGCTACCTGCCCAGGGGGCAGATTTCTCATTTTCTCTGTTTCTCTCCTGGGAGCGCACATGCCTTATTGCAAAAATCTAAAAACACCAACAGAAAACTGGTGGAGACAGAGTTAGCACAGTAAAGAGCTCAGAACAGCGCCCGCATACTCAGGAAGCACTCAGGGAGCATTTCCTATGATTATTTTGGAATATCTGTAAAATGTAGTAGCATTTTACACAAATCGACTAAAAAACAGTGCCATGTATAAAGAATTGAACTTCCTAACATTTGAAGTCATGAAATTCCCCCAATGAAAAGTATGCTAAAATCATATCTCGGGCCCAGCTGCTGAGGGACCACGATGACACGGTACCCTGCAATGCGGGAAGCCACGTGGCTGACTGTGGATACGGATCTCTGAGTCAGCCTGAAAAGGCTTCAGGCGCTGGTGGGCACCCGGGATCCCAGGGGGCGGGGCCTGGGGGAGGGGAACCGTGGGGTAAGGAGACTCTGTTGTAGGCCCTCCTATCGCGAGATCTCGTGTGCACACATATTCTATCACTAAACAAAAGGGAATTTCAAAGTGTGTAAATCAAGTGAAGTGTAAATTGAGTTTAAACTATGGGTACCGAGCGGGCCACTATATACACCTTGTTGGTCTCAGTAAGAATTCATCTGGAATTAAGATTTTAGGGATCTACTGGTTACATAAAAGGTGGCACCACTGTGACTTAAAATTCGTCATGGAAGAAAACAGTTTGGGGACAGCAGGTGGCATAGTGCTAGATTCCATAGAGCTGACTCCACAGTTTGAGTCCTGGGCAGGTGCGTGTGCATGGGCCTGGAATCCTGAGAGGAGAATGGAGGAGCAAGGATTGCAGTGTGGCCATCCCCACCCTGGGAGTGACTTCTCACTTTCTCTCTCTATTTCTCTCCCTATTTCTCTGTACACCCTATGGCCTAAATAATTTAAAAAAGAAAAGAAAAGAAAAGAAAACAAAGTTTGTGTTTTAATACCAAAGTAATGGGGACCAGCAGGTGGCATGATGGTTAAGGTGCTGGACACTCCCACACGCCAACGATGGTTTGAGTCCCGGACCTGGTGGCTTACTTTCCCACTTTCTCTCTCTCTCTCTCTTTCTGGTCAAATTTAAAAAGAAATGAATGAATAAATAAACTTAAATAAAAACAATTCTTAAAAAAAAAAATACCAAAGTAATGACTGAGAAGATTCTCATGGAAAAAAGAAGTCTAGGCTATAGACCAACAATGAAAGATAAATAACAGGGCCAGCAGGTGGCGTGGTGGTTAAGGTGCTGGAATTACCACACGGCTGGCCATGGTTTGAGTCCTGGACCTGGCAGCTTGCTTTCTCACTCTCCCTCCCTCTGTCTTTCTCTGGCAAAACTCATGTAAAAAATAATTTTAACGATAATAATAAATAAATACTTCTTTTTTTTTTCTTTTCTTTCTTTTTTTTTTTTTTTTTTTTTTTTTTGTGGTTTATCTTGGGCATGCACGCACATGCGCCCGATGTGACTTCTAAGCCACCGGGTCCGGGACACGAACCACGGTTGACTACGTGGGAGTCCAGCGACATAGCCATTACGCTAACTGCTGGTTTCCAATAAATAATTCTTTTAAAAAAGATAAACAACACATATATACACACACATATATATATACACACACACACATACATATTTAAGAGTTATATAGTTAAGAATTACATATATATATATTTAATAATTATTCATTTAGTTTTATTATTATTCAACTTGACCAGAGAGAGAGAAAGCAAGTTGACAGGTTTGAGACTTGAACTGCAGTTGGCCATGTGGGAGTCTAGAGCCTTAGCCACCATGCCACCTACTGACCCAGATGAGCAACTTTTATACCACTTATATGGCAGCAGAAATTGCTAGAAGTCTAAGAATGGGGCAGACATTTCTCTTAGCTAGAACACTTACAAAATATGTTTCCAACATACGATGCCTCCTAATTCCTGCTTGAAATGGTCCAGATCTGCTGTGGGCGTTGTGATTCTTAGTGCCAAACCACACAGCTGTCTGCCCCTTTTTCTAATAACTCCACATTTCAGCTTAAATTTTGAGGTGTATGTAAATCTTATGATGGCTTAAGTAACAAATTACTATATTATATGTGTTTCCCTAGTATGTCTTCGATATTTTTTTTTGAGAGTTATTTTTCTATAGGGTGTGTGCGCTCGCCAGACAGACAGAGAGAGACAGAGAGATAGAAAGCGAGAAATCACCCCCCAAGGGGGATGGCCACACTGCAATCCCTTCTCCATTCTCCTCTTGGGATCTTGGGCACACATGCACATGCGCCCAGCGTGAGTTTAAGCCACCGGGTCCGAGACTCGAACTGCGGTCAACTACATGGGAGTCCAGTGACATAGCTATTATGCCAACTGCTGGTCCCATTATTCAAAGATACCAATTTCTAGCATGAGCAAAATGTTTACTACATATTTCATTATTTGCAAACGTTAAATATAAGAAAAAGAACTGCTCCCATGTTCTACACAAACATTTGATGAATGTCAGTGGAACTTCTTTTGACATTAACAGTGATAGGCTTTGACCTGTTTACAGTCAAAAGGCAACCACTTAGAAGTCTGATGTTCACTTCATCAAAAAGCTGAGGGCAAATCAATGTATTCTTATGACAAAGGTCAAAGACTCCAAGGGAGAGGACTGAAGAAGATGAAAGAATGAGATATATTCGATCTGGAGGAAAACAGAGAAGAGCACATTTCTAATGTCTAGAATTTTCTTCTCAACAGTGAGATGTTACAACTGAAATTTGAAATCAAGAGGAATATTAAATTTGCTCTGACAGAGTCTCCCTCTTATCTAAAAGCAGGGCTATTTTCTTTCAGCACATCGTTTTCGAAATCATTTTTGAGGACTAGTTGGCCACTGAAGATGGGAACTATCTCTCCCCATCTTACTTTATCTTTAAAACTTTCATTTAAAAAACAACTATGTTTATTTTCAATTTTTGAAAATCTTATTTTTATGTCTCCTATAAATAGGAATGTCAATTTTACATGCTTGAAGAATGCATATAGCAACCTATAAGCAGAAAATAATCTTTTTATTTCATAATGAATATCCTACCAAGATGAAATTTTAGTATACACAGAAGAATAGATTAGTTTAATTTTAGTAATTATTAGCTATGTAAACTACCTTTGTTTTGAGGAGATAAGTTAATGACCCATGCATGTATGATCTTTTCAAGACCATACATGTATACACATTTTTATACACACATGCTAGCTTCTCCAGGTAGTAGAAACATGTTAAGAGTTTGACAATCGATGCTGTTAAATGAATGTTCTATTTTTTTTTCTAATTTTGTTCAACCATCCCTTATACATTGTATTGATATTCAAACAGAATAATGATTACTCTTTAGTTTCCCACGAGTGATAAACCATGAGCCTTTTATTATAAAAATTATTCCCCTTATGGCAACAAGTCTCCAAAGAAAATAAAAAACCACGTCCCACTGAGCTCCATATTAAAATGATTATTCCTGTACCCTTAAGACAGTCAAGCCATGAACTAATTTTTAAAATTGTAAATTAAGTTCACTATTGACCTATGTAAAGATAAGTCCCTGTCTCTACTACACGAATGGTTATAGGTGACTGGTCTATAGTTTTTAATCATTCCAGCCCCAAAGTTCAGAATTCCCTGTTCTGAAGGTTAGAGGAGGAAAAGGGAGCAAGTCTCCAGCAATTCCCTGAATAAATGAGCTTATTTGGTCTCAATCTCCTGTGATGCCTACATTCATATTTACAAATGACAAGTGTGATCAAAACCTGCAAAGACATTTGAAAAGAAAGACCATACAGTGATCAAACTAGACAACTGCCAGTTATTTGTGCCTTAAAATATTTCAAAATATTTCTGAGTGAAGATGAATCAGGGAGATGACTTTTAAGCTCCCAGGGGTTATATGATGTTAGAGCAAATTAAGCTGATGAATAAGGAAATCCATTTCAAAGATAAAACCAGATGCCAAGGGTGAAGACAGATAAAGTCATCAGAAAAATGCCCATTTCCCCTTTCTCTTCGTTCTTCTAACTCATTTTTTCCTCCTCTCCCCCCCCTTTCACCAGCTGACCACATCTAGCTCTTCTCTGCTCCCTGAAACTCTCTTGAAAGGATGCCTTTCATTTTCCTAAACAGCACAAATTCCGGTGAGAGGGAAGGGAACAGGAATTAGTAGCTGTCATGTTGGAAACAGGCATGTCACTAGACTCTCTGTATCCGTCTGGGGACTGCGACGTAGATAGGACAAAGAGAAAGAACTGTAAGAAAAATATTATTGACAACTATTGTGCAATGCTGTCCAAAAACCTGGCGACTACAAGGTGCATCTACCTGTCAGACCTTTCATGTTCATCAAAATGAAAAAAGACCATCATCGGCTGTAGACTGAAATGTCACATAACATTTTATAGTATAGGAATGTCTTCTGTAGTTTTGCCATGAATACAGAAGGTAAATTAATGGAGCAAACTGCAAGGCAATGATGCAAAAAATTGCTATTATACATTTTTTTTTCCAAAGCAGAGCTGGATCTATATATAGAACACAACGTGTTTCAAAATGAATGCGATTTGTGGTCTTTCTAATTTTATAGAATATTAAAACACTAGCAAATCCTAGCAAAAGTATATATTCACACCAAGGTATTTTACATACCCATGTAGGCATACAGATGTGCATAGATATATAGATTCATAGATTTTAAATCATAAAAACTCCATTTTTTTGAAAACTGTAGCGAACACCCCCCACACCCATATTTAACAGTAAGAAAATAATCAACCTGCATGAACTGGAATCAGATTCATTTTCTTCTTCGCTAGTGCCATCATCCACTTCTGGTCTATCCAGCCAGTGTGCACCGCCACAATCTTCAGCTGTAAACTCAAATGCGGGGACTTCAGAGGTGGATGCCATTGGCCAAGAAGGTGAATTCTGAAAATCCAGTTGGCTGGACCTTCGGTAACCAATTGAAGCCAAAGGCAATTGTAGGCTACATGGATCTAAAAACTTTCTCCCACCGCTTGCGCCGGTCTGTCCTCGATTCCAAAATTCTCCCTGTTGGCTGTCAACTGTAGAATTAGGAGCTGATGCCTGATGGCCAAACCACCTCCATCTGATTTTCAAAATCTGTTTCACATCAAACTCTTTACGAGAACCAGACATCCTCAGAGAAACCAAGTGATCGTCTAGGCAACGGGCAGAAAGCACTACACGGATTTGTGCATCCGACCAAGACCAGAGCTGTACAACAAACAGATTTAGAGGCCAATAAATTGCATGCGTGTATATTTCGACATTTACTTTTATACCCATCTAGCAGGTGAGAAAGAACAAAGGAGAATGCATGAGGCTGAATCGCGGTGGAACATTCCGTTCGATCAGAGCAAACTCTCCTCCACCTATCCTGAAGCAGCTAGACCACTTTCCCTGCTCTCCTTCCCCACACTGACCATCAGCTCTCACAAACACTGACAGCATTCATTAAAGTCCTTTCAGATGCAGAACACCACCCCCTTTCCTTAAGCCACAAATGACAGAGACAGGAAGCCCTAGCCCATTGCACTATCTGGGGCTCCACTGCTGAGTGTATTAACTCTTTTACTGCTGAGGCAAGAAATGTATTCTGGAGCATTTTTTCCTTTGTAGTTAAAAATCACTGTAAAATGTCTGTATTTTTAAGCTAAGTTCCTAAATGAGGTATCGCGAAACAAGTGTTCTCAATGCATTTCTAAATTAGATGAGTTACAGGGATTTTTAGG